CTGCGTAGAGTGTCTGGATTATAACAAAATGATTTTATTTACTTTCAACGCCGTAAAGACATGCGGAGGTGAAATTTTATTAGTCGAAAACAGAAATGAAAGCTCAGAATAAAAGTTAATTTTAATAATCCCTATTTATTTTTAGTTTCAAGGACAAAGTATGCACCTCGACCAAAAATGTTATCTGTGATCTGGACAAGTTAAATAATGTCTTGATTTTAACATTACTACTAATGTGGACGTACCTATATGCAATAATGGCTTCCCAAATTTCCAGGAACCGATTCTATAAAGGCAGGTAATCTTTAGAAACATATTCTGCTTATTTTCTTTTCAATCTGAGAATGGAAACAAATCACTTTATAGTATCAAAAGGAATTAAAGCATTTTGATAATTTAATAGAAACATTTATTTATTAAGATACTAGCAGTAGAGCCCGGCGTTGCCCGGGCATGTAACAGTAAGAGATAGATCAAGTATCGACCAACATAAGAACTGAAAAATAAAATTGACAAAGATTATTGTTTAAGGTTGACGGACACGCATGTCTTAATTAGTTTTTTACGAATTGGTCAAACCCAAACTCAAACAAAAACATTGTTTTCAATCGTTATGAGTCTACCGATTGAATAGAATTTTATTATAAACAATTGTCTTATAAATGGAATTTTTAAAGCATTTTGAATGTAAAAATAAAGAAAAAAGTGTGCAAGACAATAAGAAACACTACCTGCCAAAAAAAAAAGTTTTGTTGAAATCGGTTGAAAAATGTAGGAAATCCGATCCCATATATAAACGAACACACACACACACACACACACACACACACACACACACACACACACAAAAAAAAACAACCAACCTGGGTTTTATAATAAGTATAACTCGATATGAGTTCTCCCCCTTTCATTAATGCCTTTTAATCGTGTTTTCAAATTGATTTTGTGCAAAAACAATTGTGTTTTTCCAATTTTGGGCGCTGTCAGAACCACTGTAAGGTAATTTTACGTAGTCCTGTGAAGTTTTGTTGAAATCGGTTGAAAAATGTAGGAAATCCAATCGAATATATAAACGAACAGACACACACACACACACACACACAACCTGGGTTTTATAATAAGTATGATTTCCAGATTGAAATTCTTTTTTCATCATATTTCTATTCAGAAGTCTGATGCTTTTTGATTCTCGTCTCATCAGCTGTGTTATAGTTTCTTAGCCACACTCGAGCCGAATCGCTGTAGTACCAAACATTCAATGGAAGAGCTTTCAAATTTATGACTAGAAGATTTTTTTTAACTTTAACACATTTTTAACTTTAAGATGATTTCTTTTGTCAGAATAAATTATGTCCATCACAGATAACCCTCTTTCAGTCTCCACGGAACTTACAGAAATGGTATTAATTATATTTTTTTTTAGCTTTTTGGATAGTTTTGGGTACAACATTATTTTGACGCTGAATTACCATAAACAAATAGGTACAGAAATTCAACTGTGAAATAACTGACGCGGAAAACGTGACAGAAAGCCGAAGGTTCATACGAATGACAAAAGATACCTTTCAGAAACGAAGCAAAGTATTAACAGAAGGAAAAATTACATCAAAAACAAACAAGGGTGCTGAACAGCTACATAATATCTAATGACTTATATGGCAGTAAATGCTGATCAATCTTTTCACACGGAAATGATTGATTTGTTTTTTTATGACTTGTCAACCCTTTCTGAGTTATTTAAAGTTGAAACATATTCTGGATTGCAAGAATAATTCTTTTTTTTTTTGCAACTGTATAACTGCATCAACACATTTTTGAGAATAACATTAATTTTTCCATACATACATATATGGGAGGCAGGACATTGATTTATGCTTTTCCATTACTATTTGTGAGTAAGTGAATGTAACAAATTCGAGTAGAATTCGAACTTGGCACTCAGATTTATCATTCCGAGTTGCTATTTATTTTACCACCTGCACATTATCTTCACAAAGGAAAAAGAGACTTGAAACCGACGAATGCTGAGAATATCATAGACAGAACATGTATCAAGTTCATTCTAAGCAAGGCATTAAAGCCACTGAGACACAAGGGGTTACTGAGTGTGGAAGAATTAAAAAAAACATCCGGAAAGGAGTTTCACAAGCGAGAATTGCAAGAAAAGAAACAAATTAGGAAGTAATTAATTTCCAGAACCCAGACAGCAGAAAGATCTTTTTGAAAGGGAAAGAAAATACTGAATTCCCCAACTGCGTCATGCCTCCACACCGGTTTTGGGTGAATGTAAATAAATACGAAGGAGTCGAGGCGAGAAAAGGACAGAATTGTTCCGGACACCGGACGTGTACAACCTTGCGTGACTATCTGCCGAAGAGAACCTTCAACACCAGCCTTGTGCCAAACTTCACCAAGTCAGCAAAGTGTTACGTCTTATCTTAAGAAGCGGGTTGGATCGATAAATGTCCGTATACGAACTCTACTAGATTTTGACAACGAACTAGCCAACTATTGTACAAAGGGAATATATATATATATATATAAACATATTTTTTTATATTCAAGTGTTTACGTTTTTCTTGTGTCTTCGTTCCATTTGGACCAACCCAATACGAAATGCCTGACGACGATGTGATCCTGGCCAACGTTATGATCAAAACTAAACACAACGTGGGATAAGGCAAGGCCTGGATCGAAGCGATAACCTAATTGATTGGCCGTGGGTATTGGACACTTGAACGGCCAGGGAGTGACTTGAGGGCAACATTTGCTTGCCGTAGTCCAGGATCGAAATAGGAAGGCGACGGTACTATGACTTTCTCGAGACGTCTAGGATTTCCTGGAACCTTCTCGAACTTTATACAACCTTCTAGAACTTGTTTTTCTTTATTTCTAAATGTGTATGTTATGCTATAGCTATAAACTGCTAAATGCTTTAAAAATACATAAGTACTATCCAAATAACATCATTAGCAAATTGAAAAATAAAACTTCTAAAATATTTTGATCTTTTTTTACTCTTATTGCGTATATGGTAAAATTAAATTTTAGGTTTGGGGTTAAACTTTTTAAAGAACTAAAACAAATAAATGCCCTGATCATTACTTTTGAAGAAAAGTTCATCAATTTTTGACACAGACACATACAGTTACAAAAAGTCATAACTTAATATACATTAGACGCTTGAGGATGAAATGCAACTAATGTCTTTAATTCAATTAGAAAATTAAATTCGAAGCTTTTAGCTTCCATTTTTGAAACATGGTTAGAACTCTGTAGCGAAAAACCATATTTTAAATCAGTTAATTTATGATATATATATATATGTATATCTTAGACAAAGATGTATATATATATATATATGTAAGCAAATACATGGATATAGATCTGACAGTATGAAGAAAAATATACGGAAAAACAAACAAAAATCCTTATATGCAATTATCCTGTTTTAATGTTTAATGTCAACGTCGGACGTTTCGGTCTAGTAGACCATCTTCAGGACATATTCATAAAACATAATTAACATTAGACTATATTTAATTCAACATGAAAAGACGATGGACATTTTATGAATATGTCCTGAAGATGGTCGACTAGACCGAAACGTCCGATGTTGACATTATATTAACATTAAAAACAACATAATTGATTTTATTTTGGATTTTGTTTTTTTATATATATATATATATATATATATATATACTTTTGTATATATATATATATATATATATATATATCATTGTTCTAATATATATATATATATATATATATATATCTTTGTCTAATATATATATATATATATATATATATCTTTTGTTCTAATATATATATATATATATATATATCTTTATATATATATATATATATATATATATATATATATATATATATATATATATATATATATATATATATATATATATATATATATATATCTTTGTTCTAATATATATATATATATATATATATCTTTGTCTAATATATATATATATATATATATATATATATATATATATATATATATCTTTGTCTATATATATATATATATATATATATATATATATATATATATATATATATCTTTGTCTAATATATATATATATATATATATATCTTTGTCTAATATATATATATATATATATATATATATATATATTTGTCTAAATATATATATATATATATATATATATATATATATATATATATATATGTTTAATATATATATATATATATATGAAACATAAACGGAAAACCTTTCATGCCATCGCGTTTTAGGAATGAAACGCGTTTTCATAAATAGTTTTTCCTACTGTCTTTTCTTTTATTTATATTTACTGATATATTTATATCCGAATTTTTACGTCCAATACTACCTTGAAAGAATCTGTTTTTCTCAGGTTAACTGTAAAGAAGATAGAATCTTAAAAGAAATTGAGATATTACTTAATAATCGTAAACGTCGGTTGACCTATATCCCACAAGGACCATTAGCATCTTGTGGTATTTGGAGATTTCTTTCGTGTCAATCATTTTTTTTTTTTTTTTTTTTTTAAACAGACAACGTTGGGAAGAAATAGCTGATTGCAACCGAATTTGTGTTTATCAAGCTTTGGTAACTTTAATCAAGGCTGAACAAATACGTTGAGTCATCTGTAGAAATTTAACAGGCTAAGGTATGGGAAAGGGTGTCAAACACGTACACATGTTCAGTTCGGCCGGCCAGCAAAAGGGTCATTTTCAGCCAAAGTAATTCATCATGATTATTAGTTGTAGTTTTTTAATATTCAGTTAAATATTTATCAAGGTTATGGAAAATGTTACCTTTAACCATTAACTGTTAAAAAATCAAGTGCTGTTTATTTCATGTCATCCGTTGAATTCAATCCTGGGTTAAAAAGATTTTCTGGGATTGCTCCACTTTGTCTGTTAGAGGGTGGGGGGGCTTCACTTAATTCCCGATCGGTGGCCCAGAAATAAGCAGTATAAAAGAAAAAGATATGACCTCTCTCTCTCTCTCTCTCTCCTCTCTCTCTCTCTCCCTCTCTCTCTCCTCCCTTCCCTCCCTCTCTCCCTCTCCCCCCTCCCTCCCCTCCCCCTCTCTCTCTCCTCTTTCCCTCCCTCTCCCCTCTCTCTCTCCTCTTCCCCCCTCCCCCTCTTCCTCTTCCCCTCCCCTCTTCCCCTCTCTCTCCCCTCTCCCTCTCCCCTCCTCCCTTCCCTCCCTCCTCCCCTCTCCCTCTTTCCCTCCCTCTCCCCTCTCTCTTCCTCTCTCTTCCCTCCCTCCCTCTCCCCCTCTCTCCCTCTTTCCCTCCTCCCCTCCTATATCCCTCTCCCTCCCTCTCCTCTTTCCCCCTCCCCCTTCCCCTCTTTCCCCCCTCTTTCCCTCCCTCTTTTCCCTCCCCTCTCTCTCCCTCTCTCTCTTTACACAAGATACCATATTGACAATACGTGTTTTGTTTCTCCTCTTCCCTGGGCGAACCGAGTGTTTAGTCTCAACACACTCACTCACTCAAGCATGTACTTACTCAGTTACTCTCTCACACACAGACACTCACTACAGATAATTGCATAAATATGTTTTTCTCTCCTCTTCTGAACCCTGTTGTTTTGTATGGAAAAAATATATTTGTTCACATTCCACCTTCCCCAGGTTTTTTTTTTTTTGGACAGGAATAGAAGTTTGTGCCTTGTTTCTTGTTTAGGATTAGGTTTCCTGCTCGTTCTAAAGTCTTCTCGTCCTCTTTCACTCTCAATAGCCCCTTAAATCTTAGAGGCATTATCACCTTGTTTGGGTCAAAAAAAAAAACAAAAAAAAAAAAAAAAAAAAACAAAAACAATGAAAACAGATATGTGTCGAATTCATTTATTTTAAAATTGTTGAGACATTTAACGAAATGTCGTTACAAGCCACCCACTGTAAAACACAATGGACTCGAAAGTGGAAAAAGAATTTCACACTTTCTTTTTCGAATCAAAAACTTTCTGACGTTGAAGATTTCTAAATCTAGCTTCGTCTCACTCCGGATCAGAATAATGCAGTACTCAGTCCTTATCAAACTAACACAATGAACAGCGAGAGCGTTGTTTTATGATAGGCAAAGTTATTTGGCTATTCTTGATTTTATTTTCTTCTGATATACCCTTAAGCCCCGTGGGTTTACCTCACCTTGTCTGCAAAAAGACTTTTAACGCCCCCTAGGTGACGTTGTACAAAACAGTAGGAAAGAAAAGGTCATAAACGTTCTCTCTCTTTGCTTCTTTACCTCCATGATGTCTTAGTGACAAGATGTGTCTTTTTTCCATTTCGAGGTGTCTTCTTAGCTCCCCAGTGAACATCGTATCACGTTGTATACAATACCATCACGGCACTACCCCCTGTTTAAAAAACAAAACAGAAAAAGCCTCATGCGACAACGATAATATTTTCACTATAACTTATCACATTGGCCCAGTGGGATGACGTTTGGGTTGTATCATAACGGTCCGGGTTCGATTCTCGGTAGTGGATGCGGACTGCTGATAAGTCCCAAATAAGGACGAAACGGCCGTCCAGATCTTTCTGCTTTATGTCGAATAATGGAGTATGGGAAATTCAAATCTCCCAAAATTTCTATATATATATATATATATATATATATATATATATATATGAATTATTCATACAAAATAATGCAAAGGTTAATATTTAAATGGCAAGATAATATATAATAGATTTATATATATATATATACAATATAGTTCATGCCACTTTGACAGTAAAAATTTACCAGTAAAACATTTTGTTCATTATTATATTTGGTATATACGCAGACATTTTAAAAAATTCAAAATCAAACTCAGCGTTGCTTTGGCGCGTTCAAAAAATAACTCATTTTAATATATATTTACATATATTTTCGATGTCCCTTATTATAAGAATAACATATATATGAATATATATATATAGTAAAATATACAATAATAGAAATTTATATAGGTTTTTATAATATATATATATATGCAAAATATATTTAAATATATATATAAATATATATATATAAAATATATATATAAAATATATATATATAAAAATATATATATATATATATATATATATATATATATATAAATATATATATAAATATATATATATAAATATATATATAAATATATATATAATATATATATAAATATATATATATATATATATATATATATATATAAATATATATATATAAATATATATATATAAATATATAAATATATATATATATATAATATATATATATATATATATATATATATAAATATATATATATATATATATATATATAAATAAATATATATATATATATAAATATATATATATATATATATATATATATATATATATAAATATATATATATATATATATATATATATATATATATATATATATATATATAAATATATATATATATATAAATATATATATATATATATAAATATATATATATATATATATATATATATGTTAAGGGGTATATATATTTTTTTATACAAGTGGACTTTGCCTAATGTGTACTTGTACTGCTGCCGGTGAATACCCGGGAGTGAGAAAGTGAGAGAGTGAGAGTGAGGGTAACCGCTTTGTAGGAGTCACAGTTGCGAGCACGTAGACTCAGAAGGAAGTCATACTTCGATACTGAATTTCCCAGACTGTTTATATATTATTATTGCTACTAACCGCATTTCTGGATCTATTAACCGTATTACTAATTGTATTATTACGTCAATACATTTATTTGCTATATTTCATTCCTGCGTTTGTCATTCATTTGAGACCGGATTCCATCCCGGAATCCACAAAAATATATATATATGCGTTCAAGTCGGTTGAAAATCGCGTGAAACTCGGGTTAGAACTATGGCCATTCTCACATAGGAATTAACATTGATCAAGCGTTTTTGCTATGTAGGCTTCGTACATTTTACTGAGTAGGACTTTTTTTCTTCTTTCAGGATTGTCGTCGTTCTTGTTCGAGACTTTACCTGAATAAGAGTTTTTTGGTTTTGGCAAGTTGTCCGTTGGTGGAACCAACAGTTTTATTTTTGCTTTAATATATATATATATATATATATATATATATATATATATATATATAACCGTTACACACCGTAGACTATTTCAAACTTTCAGCTTTCAAAAGAATACCAGGATGTAGGCAAAACAATTCTGCCTACACAGACAACACATGGTTTTTGAAAATGCCTGAGACGGTTGGAAATACTTGAATAAAGCAATAACACATGAACTTCGCACAGTCTATCCACATTTTTGGTTACAATATACAATATATCATTCGAAAATTAGAAAATACAATGAAATATTAAACAGACATATGGCAGGGCGATATCACCCCCGAAATAATAATAATAATAATAATAATAATAATAATAATAATGATAATGAAGGAGGATATGCTGTAAAACAGAAAACACCAAGTGAAAGAGAAGTGTTTTCGAATAACCATGATGTTAATATGATGTTAATTTAGAACACGAAATTCAGTCGTCCACGTATTCTATTTTTACAAGTGTATTTTAATACACACATTATACTACTAGCGATGGATGTCGCCAATAATCGCATTAATATTTCTGATTGATTCTATGTGTGATTATTTCTTTGTATGTAAATTATATGCTGCCTAATATTTTATGTTTATAAACAACTATCGATCCGCAGTACATGAAAATTCATATAAAAAAAGCTACTACTATGACATTACACTATATTATTGAACTATATGCTTAGTTCATGACATAAAAACTGAATACACTTGTAAAAATAGAATATGTGGATTTAACACATCACAAGAAATATTTAAATAAAATTCTCACTTAAAATTTTGAAAAACTTAGCGTTGCGTCTTTGCACGTTCCGAGATCTTACACAACCGTCAATAATAGCAGATATTCAAAAAACAACTTTCGGTCGACAAACAATTATTTCGTCTTCAAGTTTTTGATTTTATAAGGAAAAAAAACATGCCTGATGATGAATAGAAAACTATTCGTAAGTCCTAGTATCTTAAGAACACATAAACTGAAAACAACAGACATCAATTTTATAGACGAGGATCACTTCACTCTATGGATTAACAGTATTTTAATGCATACATTATACTACTAGCGATGGATGTCGCCAATAATCGCATTAATATTTCTGATTGATTCTATGTGTGATTATTTCTTTGTATGTAAATTATATGCTGCCTAATGTTTTATATAATTAGTAGTAATTGTCTGAACGCGACTGTGTTTCGGACTGCCTCTGACTCGACTGACTGACTCCTGAGGGACTTCACTCCAGACTTCAGACTGAACTCCTTCCAGACTTCAGACTGAACAGTATTTAGTCCCCCCCCCCCGACGAGGGCATCATGTGGCACAAGGCCGGTTTAATGTGTGATGTCCGAGCCCGTGGGCTCGGCCAAAAATATGCCCTTTGAACCCGTATAAACGGGTTCAGGGTCGGTTTACCTCCCCGAAAGAGACTCCGCCCTTCGGAGAGAGAGTTCAACCGATCAGCCGGTCGCCCGACTTCAGACTGAACTCCCTGCTTCCTCTTGAGGCGCAGTATTTATTACGTATGGAATAGTCCATTATGTTATTATGGGTAAGGTCCCATAACAAAAGATGAGGACAATAGTCCGGATATAAATCATATAAATAATAATAAATCCTCATTCCAGAGATTGGAGAATTCATATTTAAAACATGTCCAATTTTTGGACTAATTTGAACTAATTTGCCCTGTTTATAATTTTCATACTAAAAGAAAAATATAAGAAAAGGATCCAATGTATTATAAACCAAGCTTATAGCTGAGACGTTTTTTTTTTTCGAGCGACAACTTCTAAAAGCTTCGACACAGCTTCAGAGTAGACGTTTTCTAAATAAACAATGAGATGAGTGAAATTCAAAACCACATAGACTAACGAGCCTCTTAGTAAGAAGCTACTCACCACACACACAGACAGTCGACCATCTTTCCACCGCTGACAGCTTCGGTCTCTGATATCAGTAGCATTTAAAAAAACGGTTTCACGAAAGAAAAGTTTGAAGATATTCAGCGGAAAGAGATAAAGGCAATCAGGGGCGGTGCAAGGGTTTCTTCCCCCCCCCCTCGGATTTATGATGAGCCACCGAATGTTTGAAACGACTCCGATTCTACTGCATCTTAATCGTGTTAAAATAGAATTCATGTAAAATACACATTTTATTGTAACCTAATTATGTACAATAATGGATCATATGCAAAATAGATGAACAGTTCAATTAGAAAAATTGAAAATAAATACAATATATTTAAATACAAATTAGAGACATGTCATAATAGATCATTCCATCTTAAATAAATCAACAATGTTTTGCGGTAATTTATAATCATTTTTCTTGTTAAAAAAATTGAATAAATTTATCCTATTCAAGATTTCGACACTTAGCATGAGCAAAACAAATTCCCGGATTTAGACAAAAAAGACTCTAGAATGACGTCAAAACCCGCGAAATCTTTCATCCTTTAATAGTTGTGTTTAG